AATGTTTTTCTCCCTGAGCTTGGCCTTCATAATTCCATTCCATCACATGCCCAGAACTATAGTTCTGCAAAGGTTATTCTATTTATCACCCAGGTAAACCTTGCCAACCTGAGGCCTCTCTGATATACTGGCATTACAATGTCAGGAATATCCAAGTTGCATGCCAGCTTACTCAGCAATTGGGCAGGTTGTTCTAACTGACCTGGATACCATCAGGTGAAGGAGGTCCAACTAGCCCATCCCTGCAACTACCCCTATCTTATCCTCCTTGGTAGGGAAAGAGACCAAAAGCTTTGGAAGAATTCTGCAACCCATTGCCTTCACACATTTCCAAGGCATTCTTTGCATCCTTAGGGACTAGGATTTTTAAAAAATAAAATTAAAATTAAAAAAAAAACAGCTCACCATGTACTAATTAATAGAAGACACTATGTGCATAAAACCCCATGAAGATGGTTGGAGTCATTGTCCATGGAATCAGAAGAAAAGGGGAGGAAACAATAGAAAATCAGGGCACTGAGCATTATTTTTTTTTTTTAACTCTTGTGATTGTTGTCATGAACATTTTATTTTATTAGATTGATATCCTGCTTTTCTTTCAGGAGCTCAAAGCTCACAGTTACCCAGTGAGCTTCCATAGCTAAGAGAGGGTCTAGAATCTGGTTCTGCTCCTAGACCATCACCTTAACCACCATACAGCACGTTTTGTATATAATTTGCAACATATACTTTGGCAGTTCTGGAGGAACAACCATAAGCCACTCAGAGTGCAGATACTCTTCTCTGCCTACCAAGGATCTGAAATGTCAGCAGATATTAGCCACTTTAGCATCTAGCGAGGTCTGGCTGAAGCAGATTATGGTCCACAGATGCTTCTTGAAAGTGCCTGAGCAAGTCTGCAGCACAATAATCTCTCCTTCATGTTCTCCAACTGCTGGTATTAAGAGATCTTCTGCCTCTGATTCCAGAAGAAATTTATATACTTGAGCCATCTCAGACTTGCCTGTGTCATCACAAAAGCCTAAAATATCTAAAACCAGTTCCACTTTAGATACAGAATGTAGAGAGCCGCGTAATTTGGGGCTCTAGGCCTAAAGATGAAGAGCCAGTTTGGTCTCGTGGTTAAGGCATCAGGCTAGAAACCCGGAGACGGTGAGTTCCAGTCCTGCTTTAGGCACAAAGCCAGCTGGGTGACCTTGGGCCAGTCACACTCTCTCAGTCTTAGGAAGCAGGCAATGGCAAACCACTTCCAAAAAACCTTGCCAAGAAAAGTCAGTCCCCAGGAGTCAAAACTGACTTGAAGTCACCAAAAAACAAAAAAGGCCTAAAGATTGACAATTTCTCCCCTACCTTGAGTGAAACTCTATGGTGTGGCTGAGTTTGGCCCCTACCAAGATTTTAACCCTGATAAGAACCATACACTCCTAATATCATAAAATCTTCTAGGTCCTTACTCACAGGAATAGTATCCCACATCAGCGTTGTCAGAGAGCCGGGCAATTTCATGGGTTTCTATAACATTCAAGTCCCACTTCTTCCGGTATTCGGTGTCATGGAGCACATCAAATACTGTCTCAGCTGTTACATCTGGCATGTTAACACGGCCCTGTGATCAAAGGAGGGGCAATGTTAGAACATTCATTGGTGCTCAATAGGATTGTGTTGAACAGCTTGCTGAGGTTAAGATGGTTGGATCCATGATCTTGAAACCTGAGTTCTCTCTATACCAGTGTTTCTCAACCTTGACAACTTTAAGATGTGTGGACTTCAACTCTCAGAATTCCTCAGCCAGCCATGCTGGCTGGGGAATTCTGGGAGTTGAAGTCCACACATCTTAAAGTTGCCAAGGTTGAGAAACGCTGCTCTGTATCATTTCTCTGGTATCCTCAAGGTTACTGCACAGAGGCTCTCACAAACATTTTGGGGATATAAACCCCATGCAAATAAACCAGGCAACTCTCTGCTATCAGATGGGGCAAAAGTGATCAATTTAAAATGGCTTTGAAAGAGAATATGGACAGATCAGTGGTGACTGATAGTTTTATCCCCAGTTGGTTCGGATAGCTTTGTGTCACTTTCAGGTTCCAAGGCAGCAAGAGAAGAATATTGTCATATTTCTTGTTTTACACGTTTGAAAAATATTTTGCATTTTTGTCTATTTTAATGTTGATTGCTGCCCTGAGGGTTCCGTTAACAGAAAAAACAGGATATTAATGGAAAGAAAGAAGAATAAAAGGGCCACGTTGTGGGTTTTCAGATTAAACTTTATAAGCAGTAAAAGTCTGGTTGGCAGGTGACTAGTGCTGTTGTCAGCCTTATTAGGTAGACTAGACAGGAAACACGATCCGAGGAGCTAATTCTACTTTATTGTAAGGCTACATTAACAGAATCTTGTAAGTCTGAAAGTAAAATCTCCCGCTGTTTCCTTTACAGCCAGAGAAACTAGGGAGGGTCCCTTCTGAGCCTCTTGCCCTACCCACTATCCAGCTGCGGGCTATGCTATCTCTTTATCTGACCATTCCCTTAGCATCATCTCTTCCAGTCTCCCAAGGTCTTTCCCACATACCATTACATCTGCTAATGACTGCTATAGGAACAGATCTAGAAAACATTCCAACACAATGATTCCCCAACCACAATCTAGGAAAATAACAGGTTTGATTGGATGCTTAAGATGCCCTAGTAAGGACCAGTAAAGCTCACTGGAATAAACAATGCAGCTGAGAAAATGCCTTCTGTCCCTTAGCAAACAAATGTTTGAAACCCATTGCTCTGTCCAACTTGGCACGCTCTGAACACGTTCTACTTCTTCCCACAAGCCAATGGCAATCCTCTTGTAGTCATGGTAACATATTATAGTGTTGTTATTTGGTACACACTTATATCTAACAGCAGTAAAGACTGATTTTTGCTGACCTTGTGAGATAGGTTCAGCTGACAGAGCATGATTGGCCCAAAGTCACCCAGGGAGCTTCTGTGGCAGAGGAGGAACTAGGACCTGGGTCTCGCTATTCCGAGTCCAGCACCTTCATCACTAGACCACACTGGTTCTCATGATGATGAGAGCTGAAGTCCAAAACATCTGGAGGGCATCAGACTGAAGAAAGCAACTCTCCAAAGGAACATATGAATTCCCTCAGTTTATGTTTAACACGACAATTACATCTCTTGCTTTGGACACTTCTAAAATCAGAAACCCAAAGCTTCTTATTTATGTTTTTTGGGGGCATTTTAACTATGAATTATTACTTAAAGCAGTCATTTTCCTCCTTTGAAATATACTCATGTTTCTCTTTTTTCTTGAAAAAGCATAGGGCTATAGATGTAATGTTTCACTCGTGGCCATATTTTGATTCCCACAGCAGCTTTGCTCAATCTATTTATCTTCTTAACTAGCGGGAGAATTGTACTCAGCTCTCCTTATTGTTAGTCCAACTTTCTATCCACATACCCACCCTTGATTTTTGCCCTTTTTACTTCGTCCCTTGCTAATTAAAATGGAACAGCTGTTCTTGCTATTTCTCTACTTTGAGACAAACTAGGAGCTCTGAAGGTATTTCACCATGCTTCTTTGTAAATCATTGATCCATTGGCCAACTTCCTGGTTGGCTAGTAAAACAGTGACCTTGGTTGGCTGCAGAGCAAGGAGCAAATCCTATGTTCCCCATTGATTATTCAACAAGCCTGGGATGTCATGTCCCATGAAGGACATTTCACATTGGACTCACCTAATTATAATCTAAAAAGAATTCAAGAGTAATGCTGCAGAGATGGAATATTCTCTTTTGTTGTTTGTAGTTAAGAATGAAAAGCCAGCAAAAGGGAAGCCTTTTACTGCAGGGGCAATCTATTATTTCCTGCTTTCCGAACTATGTTCCTGCTGCCACAGACATTTTTTTACTAGACTTTAAATCAAATATAAGTGAACACTGGCAGGTTAGAAAACCGTTTGGAGGTACAACAGGCTCTGCTGATCACGGCAGTGCAGAGATCTGGATTCCAAGGGCAAAATGCAATTCAGAACACATGCACAGAATCTATCCAGAACATCCTAAATCCAACACATCTTATCCCAGCTATGGAGGATAGCTGTGTGAGCCCAGAAAAGACACATCTGCTTTAAGGTGGCCGTACTCATATGATTTGGTCTTGTCTTGGTTTCAAATCATAGCATATATTAATGCAACTTTGGAAAGGAATATAATATCAATGTGCCATTAAACTATATTTCTAAAATATGGAATTTATCATGTTATGAAGATCTTTGGCAAAGAGATAATTTACATAAACAGAAAGAATGTTATCCTGGGTATCAAGTAATGGATTCAAGATATGTTCTAAAGATGAGAAGACAAGCAATACGTTTTCATAAGGTCTGGCTTTAATGGAAAGCTTCAGACTGAATTAATTCTATATCGATATTACATATAGAGTATATGGATTTCCCCCCTTTTTGTTACATTTAGTGTATTTTAACCACCCAGAATGTATACAGATTCTTTTCTCACTGTGATTGCTACTGTATTTTTTTTTTCCTGTTAGTGTTGTAGGGGTTTGCCTTCCACTATTAAAAATAATGTTTAACCAACATCAAGGCTCCCCAAATCCTGCTTTATCTTCTGAATTGGTATCTCTGCATACCTCCACTGCTCATAAACAAACAATGATTTGGAAGGGAACCAGCCTCCTTTTGGTAAGGTGAGGTATAGGTAAGTTTCCAATAATTGTATGAGGTTTTGGGGAAACAAGTAACCCATTTAGAAACTAGGACGTACGATCACTGTCCCCAGCCTGCTGTCTTTGAGATGTGTCGTCCTTCAGAGTTTCAGTCCCTTTCCCAAACACATCTGGAGGTTGCCAGATTCGGGAAATCTGGCATAAGCTTGGCGGGGGAGGGGGGGTGATGCATGCATGTGGATCTTAGTCAGTGAACCACAATTTACAGTCCCTACTAATCTTCTGAAACTCCAGAGAAAATTAGTACTCTATGAACAGCGGCGTTCACAACATTCACTTCCTTCAACCCAGCTTGCCTCAAGGGTTGCTGGGAAATTAAAAGAGAAATGGGACCAAGTTTGCCATTCCAAGACATTTTAAACCAAGCATAAAAATGGAATGACTTGCCAACATTTCAGCAGGCTGAACAGTGATGGAAAGTAGCTTACCCTGATTTATTTTACTGCAGTTTCTTATATTGGGGCTATTGCTTCTGGTCACTTTAAATCTTGAATACAATTATATCAAACACTCTCAAGTCCATACTGGGGAAGTTGCCAGTACTACAGATGATTTTCCACTGAGAAAAGTGCTGGAAACTCATCTTTCGAACAGGTCATGGGCCAAGATGTCTTTGAATCCTCCTGAGCTATAAATGATGGTTGAAAAAAGTGTTTTATAAACTTCTCCAAAGGATGTTTATGTTCTGTATTGGATTTGTTTTTATTTTGTTTTTAATTGTAAACCACAACCTCTGATTTGGCAGCCTTCTAAGCTTAATAAACTATTATTATTTCCCATTTAAAGTGCTACAATTTATTATTAAATATATATACTAGTATTGAAATGATTAAAGATCAAGGGGCTATTAATGTCCATTTAAGCATCCTTTGTGAAAATGATTAGGTCTTCAGAAAGACCTCCTCCGCCCAAAAAACCCCAAACAGCTTAACAGCTGTTAGATAAAATTGCCCCAAACCATGATGGAGCTCTTTAAAGTCTAGACAAAACAAGCATCTTGGTTTCTTGATGGCTCAGCCTATGTTGGCAGCTGTTAAGTCTACAGGATAAGGTTGTTTGCCCAAGTAAATTTTAAATTAGGTTTGGTATTTCTTGGTACCTAGTAATTTCAGCATCATCATTCTGGTGCCCAACTTCTAATTAAGAAACACTTCCTATTGGATTAACATGAATATCTTTAAGTTTCTTTCTCGAGTACAGGTCTCTGCTTCTAGAAGATATTAAAGGAGAAACTATTATTTAAAACCAAAAATCTGTATAAAGGAAAGCACTTTATTGATCACATTTATACCTCCCAATCTTTTTTTTTAAGGAACTCAGGGCAACAGGATCATTTTCTTCCTTGGGGTCGCCATCCTTTTTAATGGTCACAACAACTCCATGACCAGTCAAGTCAGGGTGAGAGAGAACAATTACTGTAGTCCAGGTCACCCAACTATGCCCAACGGATGATTTGAACTTCTTAGCCAACTGTTCAACACCCCAACCACACCATTTATTCCTTAATCTCAGGCCTCCATATATGTTGGGCCATCCTCTCATTATCCACAATAACTCATCTGGCTGAGGACCATGGGAGATACTTCACAGTGCATCCTTAGAGGCTGACCCCCCCCCCCACCTGACACCCCTTCCACCTTCCCCAGTTGGACTGATATTCACTATCCAGGACTTGATGAAAATGATGGCTTTAAAAATGTCTATGAATCTCTCCCATCCTTTTCTACATCATGGACACCACAAACATGAACCTGTATCTTAATGTCCCAGTTCAGAGGTATTCAAAGCAACAAGGGGAATTAAAAGAAAAAAAAAAAGATATACACAAACAGGTGCAAAAATATAAACATAATGGGCAATAGGAATGAAAAGAAGAGGAAAAAACGCAAAATTTCTCTTGCCACAACTCATTAGACTTAAAGATAGATGAAGTTTTTAGAATCAAGTTCTTCCCACCCCACCCTATCCTGCCATTGACCTCCGTCTCCTGGAAGGGATGGGGCGGCAGCTGCTGATAAAGAGGGCGCACCGATGTCTTTGATCCCCACACGCAGGAAGGTAAGGGTAAGTTCACGACTTCCCCGTCCTTAACGGAACTATGGCTTCCTCAATTAACCCAGGTTTGCGCACAGCCGATTGTGTCAGGAAAGAGCATCAGGCAGGCTAGGCTGAAGTCGGAGTCGCCCGTTGATGGCTCAGCGGCCCACGGAACCCAGCCAGAGCCACGCGTGAACGGGCCCTGGGCTGACACCCCACTCGGGAAAACATCGGAAGAATTTGCCCTGCGGGGCAGACGAGGGCTGACGCTCGGCGCACACGCGACCCGCAAGTATTTGCGGAACGTAAAGCGCATCCGCTGCTGGAGATAACGAGGAGCCTCAGACCAGAGAGGGGCTTTTTGGTGGGGGGGGAATCCGTTCC